GCATAGCTTGGTAAAATAACTTGCTTCTTCGAGAGCTGCAGATCTGAGCATGCGCGACCACACCCAAATTTTGGAGCACATGGCAAGCTTCATTAATTAACAAAATGGCGGCATGCAGCTAAGATGGCTCGATCCAGCAGTCACAGTATCACTTTTTCCTCACTTGAAGAATGATCTGATGGGACATGGACCTGCGCATAGACTGTTGGAGTAGATTGGTGTAAGAATTATCCTTGTAGCACCAACCAATACTGAGATACACACCGACAACTGGATTGACAGGACTTCTGACTTGATGATGATGATGATGAAGATGAAAAAAGGTGGCTGAACAAAACGGCCGGTTCGCCGATTTTTGGATTTTCTCTTAGACAAGGTCTAGAGCCACGCTAGTGGTACCAATGGAGTCCTCTGGTCAAGATGAGGTCCACTAAGAAGTCTGGTAAGCATAGGAGCTCGTTTTCCCAGTATAGCAAGGCTGCAAAAGTCGTGGCAGCCATTTTGTTTGGGGGTGAATCCTACTTAGTAACGCTACCGCGTTACTAATACATAATGTATTCTGTTATCAGTATTATTGATGTATGTGTCTCATTTATCATTTATTGTAGGTACTCCGACTAACAGTAAACTGATATACCTCCCAACGGTCATTGTAATGGTCTCAAGGATGCCTTACTTTAGACTCTTGAAGGAAGCACTATCTGGGTAAGGGATTATAGTACATGTATTATACAAAAACCACTCTTGTATGATTCTGTGCTTGCTCAATGATGCATGGCTCCAGAATGTCAATTATAACAACTATCAATTTTAATTTTTGGCAAATCCATTAGCTCCTCCCAATGCTTCCCATTACACTATACAATACATGTACATGTACAATTACTGCATGTACTGTACATGTACAAATGTACTTGTATAAGATTTTATAAACTACATGTATTATGTATAATGATAATGTGGTTCTTATTGTAGTATGTATAGACTGTTATCTGAGGAGGAGAGGGAGGAGTCATTTTGGGAGACCATTGAAGACGTGGCCAATAAACTGTTTCTTGTATCTTGTCTACCTGAAGGACTCCTCTCATTAGTAAGGGAGAGAGAGGGGGGAGAGAGAGGGAGGGAGGGAGAGAAAGATTGAGGGAGGGAGAGAGGGAGAGAGGGGGAGGTGAATGAGAGGGAGAGAGAGGAGGAATAAAGAAGGAATGAGGGAGGAAGAGTGAAATAGAAGAAGTTATGTATTCATTGTTCTACTAGGAAGTAACTCTACCTGGTTTTTCATCACCAACAATCATTATGCCACCTAGAGGAGGTTAGTATATGTACATTCAGTTTTCCCTCCCTCTCTCTCTTTCTCTGTCTGTCTCTGTTTCTCCCTCTCTCTCTCACTCTCCCCCACTCTCCCCCTTCAGATCTTCATCTTGATGTCAGATTAAACTATCATTCTTATGTCTTTTTGTTGATAATGTTCTCAAGGTTATTTTTTTATTATTTTCATCGCCAGTATTAGTTATACAATTAAGAGGAGAGAATATACTATTGTACGTGTACTATGTACATGCATGTTTTTAAATTT